GGAGAGCGGGGATCCGAACTCAGACTGTTTGATTCATAGTCAGTGCTTTATTCCCACTCAACTGCAATACTTCTCACCTACTTGCCTTAGGCACCTACACACATGCCATGTGCACTATATCAACCTGATTAGAATATGGGGACACCCGATCTCTCCCTAGTTTTTAGAAATGCATTCATTTTTTCCCTCCCTTTATTCACTCACTGTGTCTCCTCTGGGTTGAGTGTAATTCTGTGCTATATTCTAGGGGAGAGAGAATATAAAATAGATAGAATTTCTCGCCCCAAGGAGCTTATTATAATCTAATAAGGAAGAATAGAAAAATACACGCACGACTACATCATGGGACAGACTGTCATAGGAACCATAGAGTAGCCGAGCGAGTTCAAAGGAATTTCTGGCTTTGGGCATCATGGAAGATCTTGTGGACAAGAGAGCATTTGAGCTGGATTTTAAGAGCGGGGAGATTCGATTCTTTTCGGCCTTTGATATAATCCTACCATGTGAGCCGGGGGTGAAGCTGCGCAAAGTTCCCCGACGGTTCTGATCTTGTAAACTTAGCAAACACAAGCAACTGGATTAGTTAGGGTGACACGGCCGGCCCTGAGGATGGTGTTTGTCTGACTTGCCGAGACCCCGGCTGACGCGGGAGGCAGGTCAGGCGGGTTTTAGCCGCAGTCCGCCAGTCCAGACGGAGCGTGGCCGCACACACCAGTGGGGCGGGAGTCACCACTGCCACTCCGTGCCTGAGGACGCCTTGGCCTAAGAAGTTAAGAGACTTGTCACATAGCCAGGGCAGGGCAGAATTGAAGGCCACATTTTCCGACACCCAGTCCAGGGCTGAAGTCCTTCTTGGCACTCAACTCTACAAACCCGACTCCCCAGCTGCCTCACCCGCACCCCGCAAGGTCAGCCATGGCTCGTCCGTGTTCCCACGGGCCACCCGGGCCCAAGTGACTTGTCCACTGCCTGTAACTGGGACGGAGGCTGCTTCCTCAGACTTTAGCTCATCAGGGCTCCCTGCTTCTGTGTCAGTGGGCACTAAAGAGCTAAGGTATCGTCACCTTCCTGCATCATCTACTTGTTTTCCGGAAGTTTCCTGGGGTTAAAGATCCGAGGAACAACTCTCATGGGAACGCGAGCCCAGTGTCCCCCAAATGCCTGCCGCTCGGCCTGATTACCTCACTCTCTCGGGGAAGAAGAGAGCCATGCTCCACACCAGCATGCCTCCCCAGTCGTGGCCGATGAACACGGCTTGAGAGAGGCCCTGGAGGAGAAGGAGAAGGAAGGGGACCGAACGTGGGCGGGTTTCGGGAGTGAGGGGCCGAGAGCCCAAAGCCCTCCGCCATTCCCTCGAAGCGAGGGCCTCCTCCCCGACCCACGGCAGCTGCGCTCGAATGCCCAACATCCACCCTCCACACCCGCCCCCACCAGCCAGACCCTCGACCAGTGCTCGGCCCTTTCGTTCTGAGCCGACCGGGGATTCCTCCTCCCTCTCTACTGTCCCACAAATCCAGTCTTGTGTCACCCTTTCCTCCCTTCTATCTTTTTTTTTTTTTTTTTTTTTCTCAATCTGTTGCCTGGGCTAGAGTGCTGTGGCATCAGCCTAGCTCACAGCAACCTCAAACTCCTGGGCCCAAGTGATCCTCCTCCTGCCTCAGCCTCTCAAGTAGCTGGGACTGCAGGCATGCACCACCATGTCTGGCTAAGTTTTTCTATATTTTTAGTTGTCCAATTCATTTATCTCTATTTTTAGTAGAGACGGGGTCTCACTGTTGCTCAGGCTGGTTTCGAACTCCTGACCTTGAGTGATCCGCCTGCCTCAGCCTCCCAGAGTGCTAGGATTACAGGGATGAGCCACCGCGCCCAGCCAAACACTCACAACATTTTGAGCTAGTTACTGTTGTCTCCATTTTACAGATGAGGAACCAAGGCTCAGAGAAGTTGTTAGTTGCCTAAGGTCACATATAGCTAGTAAATGACAGGACTTGGTCTGACTCCAAACCATGTTCTTTCTAGTATATCACACACCTTCCCTTATTCAGAAACATACTTTATGTTAACTTGGTTTTCAAATTATATTTTTCTAGACTGTGGTGTACCAGAGAGATTATGTACTCAACCAGCATATGGTCAGCATTCCATAACAGCATTAGTTGACTGTTTTTAGTCCTTTTAAATTGATCACCCATCTTTCCTCTCTAGTTAGCTGCCAAAGAGAACATGCTTATAATCCATTCTTGATATTTCTTAGTGCATCATTTTTTAAATTTTATATACCATTATGATGATATGTTGTGGAATTTAGAGGGAGGCATTTAATTAATTTCCAATTAAAAGTTTTTATAAGTTTTTCTTCCTAATTATAGTTTAATCAAAAATAGATTTGTTATGTAATTACTGCAATTTTAAGATATAGTGAATAGGCAAAGGCTTTGAGTTAAGCCAATATTATAGCATTGCTTTTTTTTTTAAGCATTTTCTCCTGGAATTTGTTGAAAGAAAGAGTTCCCTGCTGCTAATGAATTGTCCATGTGGTTTCCTAGTTGAATTGTTTTTGAATGCTGAGGCTTATGAAATAAATGAATAATTTATAAACCTTTTTCTTTTTTTCATATCACCAGGTGACCGATATTCCAGAGTGGTATTTACTTCAGCTGGAGGGGAGACACTGTGGAATTTACCTGCAATTAAATCAATGTGCAATGTAGATAATTCCAGGGTATGTAAAATAAAAGTGAAATCTGCTCAGCACAAGTAAAGGTATATTAATTATTAAAACTCCTTTTACTGCTGACCCTGGTGTCATTTCAGACAAAGGTTCTTAAGCGGCGTACCTACTGAGGAGTGAACACCAGCAGGCCATCTCTGCAGCGCTCAGACCCCAGGATCAAAGTGCCCTTGCATTTCCCCACCCGTAAAACACACCATCTTCCTTCCTCTTTCCAACTCATGTGCTCTTGCTGTCCTGGTCGTCTTTGTATTTCATAGCATATTTCTTTTCAGGATAGTAACAGTTAAGACTGTCTTCTTTTATTGTATTTTCTCTCTTTCCTAATCTAGCGTCATTGTTTACTACATTTTGCCCCCTGAGGCACTTGTCAGCATCTTAATTATGCAATTAAATGCCTGCCTCTCTGGTAATCAATGGGTCATTTGTGCTGGTGACCTCAAAGGGAAATTTAGGGAGCAGTCTGAGAAAGGGGCTATCAAAGGGTATAAATATAGTATCTATCTATATGGCCAGAGAAATCCAATCCAAATTACCCTGAATGCTGAACACCTAGCTGCTTTCCAAGACATCAACATGCAGGAGGACAGGTTATTTCTCTTCAGTCTTCTCTAGAGCCAAAAAGGTGTCAGCACCAGAAAGTGTAAAATCCACTGATAGGTTTGGAAGAGCTGTCAATTCCATGTGTTCTGAGGCAGTTTCTCTAAATAGAAACTCTGTCTGATGTCACTAATGGACCTGTCCAAGCGCAGCGACCATGCAGAAAAGGAACTCATTGTATTCTTAGCATAACTCTAAAATGTTAAATCACTGGCTAGTTAAAAATCAAATCATGTGCCCTGCTAAGAGCTAGTCTGACAACCCAATACAATTACCTATTCTATCAACAGGGAAATTCCTTAGTGGAATAAGAGGTAAACAGAAAGAACAGGTCACTGAGACCAACGGTCTCACTGTGTTGATACATGAGTACCTTCCAAGAATGGATCGTCTGCCCCAGGTCATCTAGTTGGTGGTCCCTGATCTCCTAGCTTTGCTCCATTCTTCATTCTGAGAGACTGTTTGTACATTTTGAAAAGGACTTGCCCATTGCTTGGGATATCTTGATTTTCTGTCAGTGTCATCTGTTCTCTGTCTCCCTCCAAATTCACCAAAGCCACAAATAAACAGACCAGAGTTTCTTAATCAGTGGTCGATTTTTATTTATCATATCCTCTTCTACAGCTGTCAGTTTCTTATTTGAAGGCTATGAATGTATTTCTTTTTGTCACGGGGTACACCACTTTTTATACAGAAAGTTAATTCTAAAGTAGTCAATGTGTAGTGATCCGTAATATGTGCAAGACTTTATGCAGGTACTTGTGCATCACTCAGGATGGGTCTGGGACCTTGGAATTCATAATGCTTTCTAACAGGTGATAAGTTAAGCTAGTCTAGTGACCTTATAATCACACCTTGAATGAGAATAGTTCATTAACTTCTATACCTTTCACTCCTCATGATTCTACCTTTGAGTAATCATCAGACCTTCCCTCCCCTAAAGACTCTGAAGTGCGTGAATTCACTCAATTAGTTAATAGTTGATATTTGTTGACTGTTTACCATGTACCGGGAAGTATTCTAAACACTTTAATAAGTTATTTCATTTAATCCTCATGACAGCGTTATTAATTAAATACTATTATTTGGCCCATTTTCTAGATGAGGAAAGTTCACACCTGATGGCGTGTCAGTGGCATAGCCAGGACTAGAGCCCAGCCCAGTCGAACTCTAGGGCCTGTGCCTTTATCCACTCTGCTTTGTGCTTTTGTAATGAAAACGATACTGCCCTGTTTTTTTGGTTTTGGTTTTGGTTTCCTTTTTTGGCTGTATATGCCATTTCCCATACAAAGAAATCTTAAAGAGTCATTGTGGCCTGGAATAAGTATCTTTAAAAAAAAAAAACTAGCAATTTATTCCATGCATACACGTTAGACTCTGAGACTCAAAAGCCAGTACGCAATTCTGTTCCACGATGACCCTCATAAATGAAAGCAGTGTATTACTTGATCTAAATCTGTACATACAGCAGATGATTAAAAGCAGCACATTGAGGTAGCTTACAGAAAGGCATATACAAAGGATAAGATAAATAAGTTGAATGAATTACACGAAGGGAAAATAATGGGAGGAAAGTTAAGGATGAGACTTAGTGTGCAATAATGTGAACCGCACAATCCTATACATTTGCTGGTGGGGAGCTGCAGACTTGTCTCTAACCTCCCAACAGCCAGAGCAAAAGGATTTCACAAACAGTTAACAGTCATATAAATAGAGTAACAAATTTGTTTTTTAGAAGCCCAGCTTTTCCTTGTGCTAAGACAGGAGGGGACAGCTCTCCATTGTTTTCATAAAAGAAGTGTGATATTGTGTAGGAAGTTCTTAACAGCATGCTTATGAGAGGTACAATATTGAATTGCAGCTGATTTGGAAAACATAGGAAGACTAGTAACAGAAAAATGTAATAGCAAAAGCATTTTTATAAGAGATTAAAACAATGAAATCTAAGTATGTGGCTTTCTAATGGTTTGGCTTGATGCATTTGCAGAACTTAGACTGTCTAAAGAAATAGATATACTCTACTTGTCTAAGTATTTCTCTCTTAGTTGGGAAAAGAGGAGTATTGTAGTCCTCTTGTGAGAATTTGAAGAACATACTCAAGACACATGTCCAAATGAATGGTCAGTATGGCCAGTTATAGATCCACACCAACAAATGAATAAATAGGTGATCATGGCCCCAAAGGTCTTCCTCAAAGAGCATATTTTTAACTTGTTACATACTATGTTTGCCAATTGTAAATGCCTTTATATTCTAGTCTCAAACTCTGCTATGAACCTGGAATAATAAACCTTTCTCAGAGAGATAATATATTCATCTGATATCTTAAGTAATAACTATTGGTTAGCAGTTCAGCTTTCAGATTATTACTGTACCTTTTTTGAGTCTCCTGGTTCAAGATCCTTTTAGGATTTCTATCTGTTATGTTGGTTTGACTGTGTCCTAAGGCTACTTGCCAGTCATTCTCCTTCACCACCCCCCAAATCCCGGTTATTGTACTAGAGCACTGATTTTAACAACTGTCAAGTTAAATGGGGTGTGATCATATGATACAGAGCAGAAGAATTTAATTGTTGGTGGGTTGACTCCAGAAAATGCCTGGTAATTAGTGTAATATCTCAGTGAGACCAGACGTTTCCATCGTAACCTGCCTGTGTTTACGACACATTTAGTTCAAACTCCAGATTCCATTTAAATTACATGCTACTTTCATTCACAATTCAGCCAGGCATTGGTTTCCAAAGTGAATAGCTTCTGTTTCTGATCCTGTTGTCTACCTCCTAACAGAAATGCTTGTTTTCTTAGACTCTTTCAAAGGGAGCCTCAGTTGATTCCCCCGCTCCTCATTTCTTTCTGCCCTTTGACATACTGTGGGATGGAAATAGTCATTAGTAACCAGAAGTATGTCTCTCTGATCTTGACTCTGCTGGAAACCATTTACCTGTTCCTTAGTCTTTCTGCATTGTAGAAGTTGGAGCTCTGAGGACTCAGCTTGTAAAAGGGATTTGAAATTTGGTGTTTGAGACTCTGCTTACTCGGGTAACTTTTGTAGACAGCTGAATATCTCCAACTTAGCCAGTAGTTTTAAGAGTTTAAAACTCCGCTGGTTTCTTTTTTTCTCCTCTCTTCTCTTCCTTTACCCCCTATTTTAAGTGAACTCCACCCCTGCTACTATCTAACTAGGCAAGTGAGCAAAAACATATTTTAACCACATAAGCAAAATGATTCCTTAAAACATCCATTTTGTGAGTAACTAGAATTAGAAGGGCTATGTCCTCATGAGAGTTACCAGAAATTGTTCTCACTAACCCTGTTTTCATTTTTATAAACTTCAAAGATTTTTGAAATTATTCTTATGAATCTATTTACCAAAAATATGGCTGTCCTCTTCAGGAAGATATACCTGTTTGTCAATCTCTTTAAGCCCCACAGCACATGCCTCTGTCTTTGTCTGTCTCAGTCACAAATGGCTAAGCTGGTGCTCCCATCACATCACACTTACAGACTTTGGCACTCCCTCCATGGGGCCGTGAGCCTTAACGCTTAATAGGACACTTCTCATGTTGAATTACAGCTATCTGTTCTGTGTCCGGCTTCCCTGCCATGCTGTGAGCAGCTGGAGGGCAGGGACCATTGTGCCTTGTACACTCATGTAGGTGCTCAGTAGAGTGGTTTCTCAATGGGTAAATGGATGGGAACGTGCAGCTTTACCCCCTCGAAGAATAGGCAATTCCTTGAACTCCTTTTCTTTCAGTTCGGGATGTCGGCATCCAACTGAGGGTAGCTGGAGAGTAGCAGTCATGATGTCTTTTCCCTTTCTTTATTTCTTTCCTTGTAGGAGTCCTCAAAAACTCTTTTCTCAAAGGTTGAACATCAACCAACATCACCTAGTGCTTATTTTTAATAGCAGCCATCAAAGTAGAACTTGTCTATGTTTATAATGCCTTTTAATCTGTGGTCAAATATACACATGAAAAGGACAGAATTTTGTGCTTTATTTCCCAGTTTTAGTTAGCAACTCTATTTCCTTTATCTTTGGCATTTGGTTATTTCAGCAATTACAAATATGTTCCTTCTAGCTGATAGTGGGTTTCATAATGGATATAATTCATTTTCTTCCATCTGAAAACTGTCAGACACTGGAATGTATTACCTTTCTTTAATTCACCACGCCGAGCCCAGGGGTTTGTGGTGTGTTTGGGGTATGTTATTTCTTTGTGGGGTAAAACCAGTGATCTGCTGTGAAACCCAGAGACATGCCCCTCCTGGGTTTCCTGTTATTTTTTAGGGGGTTCAGGTTTCCCCAAGTTAGCATATGCAAATGTTTTTACCTGGAAACAAATATGAATTACCCTATTTTATGGAATGTTAATTATTGCTCTTCAGATATAAGCTTACAAATGAAGCCTTTGTTAAACTAAACATTATTTTTCTACATTTGAACCGGTAACTTTTCTGGCTCGTTTTTCTTTATCCACAATAGAGAACCTTTAAAAATAAACAAATTTTTATTATGGAAACTTTCCAACATATGCAAAAGTAGAGAAAATAGCATAATGAATCCTCCCGGGCAGGCCACCCAGACCCCACAGGTCTCCACTCACGGCCAGGCTGGTTCACCTGTGCCCCTCCCCCACAGGGCTCGTCCTGGTAGAGTGTCTTGATAGACAACAGAGTTCAGAGGTCATAAGTAACTTGGTTCTTGGATAAGTCCAAGTTCCAAAGAGATGACTTATGCTTGCTTCTCCTCTGCTTTGCAAAGACATTTCAATGTATGATTGATAAAGCCCAGTTTAATCAAGGTAAAGGGTATTTATAATCCTGTTAGAAAAAAAATATTCACACCCTCCTTGAACTTTGGAGTTTCTTCGCTAGAACAACCTTTGGTAAATAAAGATGAGGGAAAGTGATAGGAACAGGTCATCTTTAGTACTTTGAAAGAGAAGTAATGGTCAGGCTCAAAAGAAGGGAATATTTTTTATTTTCAGTCTCAGGGAAGAGGGGCCATTCAACTAATTTTCAGAATGGAAGTATACAGAGTTCACCATTGTCTAGCAATGCCAGTAATGGAACAATTTTTCAATTTTCTATAACAAGAACAACCTTCAGGAATAGTGTTCTAAAAAAAATACTGTCCACATTAAATTCAGAATTGTTATATTTGCTAATATGCAGAAATGCCTTGCTTACCAAAAGACAAAGTTCACAAAAAAGGACTATAGCCAACTCGAATAAACTTTGTGGAAGAAATAATTAAATTCCTACTTAAGTATTTATTAATTGTATATGTTATTTAAAAACAGATATAAGTTAATATTTTAATGGTCTTTTCCAAGACTTGTTTACTAAGTAGGTGTTTCTTTTATCTCCTTTCTTTAACAAAAGTAACATTGAAGTTGTTTCACACTTGTATGTCATTCCCAGACAGTAGTTTGTTGTTCAAAATAAAGCAACCTGGAGAGTACCCTGTAATAGGAGATAGTTGGGTGTGAGGGGCTAGCTTACCCTGCATTTAACACACTGACTCCCACATGAGCTGTATTTAACTCAGGCTGGTTTTGACCTTGGGACCTCATGAAGCAAAACCCTGCAGTTGGTTATGAAAATCTTATTTGTTGATGTTCTTATTGTTACAATTAATATTGACAATTCCAAAAACATGGATTGCATTGCATATAACTCACAGAAAACAATAAAATATAACAAATTAGAAAGGATCATTTTATTTTAATAAAACTTTGTGGCCCCAGGGAAAAAAATTTTCTTCTAGTGTGGCTGTCAGTGTGTTAAACTGATACCTAGTTTAAGAGGATAGCAATTTAGCTCCTGTAACTTTCCATGTCCCTCAAGGCCACCTTAATTAGGACTTTTCCCATCATGAGCCAGTTTAAGCTGCAGCCCTTTGCTTGTCCCTGTCTCTGCAGATCAGATCTCATCCCCAGTTTGGAGATCTCTGCCAGAGGACCACTGCTGCTTCCTGCTGCCCCAGCTGGACGCTGGGGAACTACATTGCCATTCTCAACAACAGATCATCCTGTCAGAAGATTGTCGAGCGAGATGTTTCTCATACCTTGAAGCTGCTTCGAACCTGTGCCAAGCACTACCAGAATGGCACCCTGGGGCCGGACTGCTGGGACATGGCAGCCAGGAGAAAGGACCAGCTCAAGTGCACCAACGTGCCGCGCAAGTGTACCAAGTACAACGCTGTGTACCAGATCCTGCATTACCTGGTGGACAAAGACTTCATGACCCCAAAGATGACTGACTATGCCATGCCAGCTCTAAAATACAGCATGCTCTTCTCACCCACAGAGAAGGGGGAGAGCATGATGAACATTTACTTGGACAACTTCGAAAACTGGAACTCTTCTGACGGCGTGACTACCATCACCGGGATTGAGTTTGGCATCAAACACAGTTTGTTTCAGGATTATCTTCTCATGGATACTGTGTATCCTGCCATAGCCATTGTGATTGTCCTTCTAGTCATGTGTGTCTATACTAAGTCCATGTTCATCACTCTGATGACAATGTTTGCAATCATCAGTTCCTTGATTGTTTCCTATTTTCTCTATCGTGTAGTATTTAACTTTGAATTTTTTCCCTTCATGAACCTCACTGCGCTCATTATTTTGGTTGGAATTGGAGCAGATGATGCTTTTGTTCTGTGTGATGTTTGGAACTACACCAAATTTGACAAGCCTCACGCCGAAACCTCAGAAACAGTGAGCATCACCTTGCAACACGCTGCCCTCTCCATGTTCGTTACGAGTTTTACCACTGCCGCTGCCTTTTACGCTAACTATGTTAGCAACATTACAGCAATCAGATGCTTTGGGATTTACGCGGGGACAGCTATATTGGTGAATTATGTTCTGATGGTCACATGGCTACCAGCAGTTGTTGTACTGCATGAGCGATATCTTCTTAATATATTCAGTTGCTTCAAAAAGCCCCAGCAGCAAATATATGATAACAAAAGCTGCTGGACAGTGGCTTGCCGGAAGTGCCACAAAGTACTTTTTGCTATTTCAGAAGCATCTCGTATTTTTTTTGAAAAAGTGTTGCCATGCATCGTCATTAAGTTTCGCTACCTTTGGCTGTTCTGGTTCCTTGCCTTAACGGTAGGTGGGGCCTACATTGTATGTATAAATCCAAAGATGAAACTGCCCTCCTTGGAGTTATCTGAGTTCCAGGTGTTCAGGTCGTCTCACCCTTTTGAGCGCTATGATGCTGAGTACAAAAAGCTTTTCATGTTTGAACGTGTTCACCACGGTGAGGAGCTCCACATGCCCATCACAGTAATCTGGGGTGTGTCCCCGGAAGACAATGGCAATCCACTAAATCCCAAGAGTAAAGGGAAGCTGGCATTAGATAGCAGTTTTAACATTGCTAGCCCAGCTTCCCAGGCCTGGATTTTGCACTTCTGCCAAAAACTGAGAAACCAAACATTCTTTTACCAGACTGATGAACAGGACTTCACCAGCTGCTTCATTGAGACCTTCAAGCAGTGGATGGAAAACCAGGACTGTGACGAGCCTGCCCTGTACCCCTGCTGCAGCCACTGGAGCTTCCCCTATAAGCAAGAGATTTTTGAACTGTGCATCAAGAGAGCTATCATGGAGCTGGAAAGGAGTACGGGGTACCATTTGGATAGCAAAACCCCAGGGCCAAGATTTGATATCAATGACACTATCAGGGCAGTAGTGCTAGAATTCCAAAGTACCTATCTCTTCACACTGGCTTATGAGAAGATGCATCAGTTTTATAAAGAGGTGGACTCATGGATTTCCAGTGAACTGAGTTCAGCACCTGAGGGCCTAAGCAATGGTTGGTTTGTCAGCAATCTGGAATTCTATGACCTCCAGGACAGCCTCTCCGACGGCACCCTCATTGCCATGGGCCTGTCTGTGGCTGTTGCATTTAGCGTGATGCTGCTGACAACTTGGAACATCATTATAAGCCTTTATGCCATCATTTCAATAGCTGGAACTATATTTGTCACTGTTGGTTCTCTTGTCTTGCTGGGCTGGGAACTAAATGTTTTGGAGTCTGTCACCATTTCAGTTGCCGTTGGCTTGTCCGTAGACTTTGCCGTCCATTACGGGGTCGCGTACCGCTTGGCTCCAGATCCTGACCGGGAAGGCAAGGTGATCTTCTCTCTGAGCCGCATGGGCTCTGCGATCGCCATGGCCGCCCTCACCACCTTCGTGGCCGGGGCCATGATGATGCCATCCACAGTCCTGGCGTACACCCAGCTGGGCACCTTCATGATGCTCATCATGTGCATCAGCTGGGCCTTTGCCACCTTCTTTTTCCAGTGCATGTGTCGGTGCCTTGGGCCACAGGGTACCTGTGGTCAGATTCCTTTACCTAAAAAACTACAGTGCAGTGCCTTTTCTCATACTTTGTCTGCAAGTTCTGGTGACAAAGGACAAAGCAAAACACATACCATGAATGCTTATCATTTAGATCCCAGGGGGCAAAAATCTGAACTGGAGCATGAGTTTTATGAATTAGAACCTCTGGCATCCCACAGCTGCACTGCCTCTGAGAAAACCGCTTATGAAGAGACCCACATCTGCTCTGAATTTTTCAACAGCCAACCAAAGAATTTAGGGATGCCTGTGCATGTGGCTTACAGCAGTGAGCTCAGCAAAAGTAGCAAACGTGACACTGGCTCTGCCCTGCTACAGCCCTCTCTCGAACAGCACACCACGTGCCATTTCTTCTCTCTGAATCAGAGATGTAGCTGCCCACACGCCTACAGACACTTGAAGTATGGCCCACACTCTTGCCAGCAGATGGGAGACTGTTTGTGCCACCAGTGTCCTCCTGCCGCTAACAGCTTTGTCCAGATCCAAAACGGCGTGGCGCCACTGAAGGCCACACAGCAAGCCTCGGAGGGCCTTGTGCACCCCATCCCACACATCCACCACCGCCCCTGCCTGCAGGGCGGAGTGAAGCCCCCTGGAATGCAGAGTTCTCTGCCTAGGGATCTCTTCCTCCACCCTGTGCAGCACATTCAGGCCCAAGGAGAGATGGGGAAGGCCAGTGCACACGGTCTTCAGAGCATGGACGAGCATCTTCCAAAGGTGGCAGAGCCGCCATCGCTCGGCTCCAGGAGCACTGGATCTTGGCACAAAGCATGTTGTGACCCTGAGAATAAACAAAGGGGACTCTGTAAAAATAGAGATGTTGGAAATATGGAGAGCAGCGGAGGGACGGAGGACAAGGCTTCTAGCTCAGCAAATCAGACCAGCACGGCAGGAGGGAAGGCGGAGCTGCGCTTGCCACAGACTGATGGAATTGCGAACTCAGCACATTTAAATCAGAGTGAACCAAAACTCATATTTAACCATTTAGTGGGGGAAGCTGGTTATAGGTCCTGCCCAAACAACCCACGAAGCTGTGGCAGAATTGTGAGAGTGAAGTGCAATTCTGTGGACTGTCAAATGCCAAACATTGAAGCCAGTGTGCCTGCTGTATTAACACACTCGGAACTTTCTGGTGAAAGTCTGTTAATAAAAACACTATAATAAATATAGCATTAAATTCAGAACCAGTGCCTCAATCATTCTTTTGAAATGGAAGTAAAATCCAGAAGTTTAGAAAGGAAGTCCAAAAATACAGGAAAAGCCAGTTTTGCATTGTTAAAAATTATGGAATATTTTTATATTCCATATGAATGATGAACAAACAAATCTGATGAGTGCATTAGATTATTGGATTGGCTGATTATTAGATTTTATATTTACAGAAGGTATAGTTTTCCACATTTATGCCTAGCCTGAAAAATAACTCTCTCTTTCTACCCTCCCACAGCAGTGAATCAGAGATTTAAAGTTTGAATTACCTAGAAGTTTCAGTTCTCCCAGGCAGTCATATTTATCTGACGTCTTTATTTTGATGTGTTGAGTTGGCAGGAATCCACACTTTTGATTGCTCAACCAAAATACTAGGAATTGCCCTAATTTTAATAGAGCCACTTCAGGTGGGATCCATTAAGTAAACAACATTAAAATTTACATTTTTAGTGAGGCCTTATTTAAAAATGAATTGCCATGCACTTTAATAGTGCATTCCACTGTCTGCATCGTAGACTTTACACAAAGCCGCATTTGCATACAAATCGGTGTTTTTCCCACATTAACCCAAATGTACAGTTGTTATTACATTTGTTAACTGAGGAGTCTCAGGTATCATCCTGTGTCAGGCCACAACTCTGTTAGTGGCACAGAAGGAAGAGCAATGAAGAGATGTGGTCACCCAAGATAGTGCTACTCTTTACAGAGTAAATTGCGTGATGGCAAGGATAGACCTGGTCAGCTGTTCCCTCGCCTCTCGAGGCGTTCAGAAAAGGCCACCTGTTGTTTGAGGTTTTGCTTCCGTCTTTGCCGTGAAGGGACCTTACTCAGAAGGCTTCTTTCTCATTTGTTGAACAGAGTCTCAAGACACATTAGGGTGATTTTATTGTGCAGCTAACACCTGAAATGCTGAGTCTTCAGGCAGCATCTTAAATGGACACTGTGTGTCTCAGGTAGATGTGTCCGCAGCAGTGGGGCTGCGGGAACGTGCTTCCCGGTAACGCTCAGAAGACACAGCCTTTTCACGGGCGCCCCGGGGCACCGCGCGTCCCAGCCCCGTCCAGGGAGGCGCCTCTGCATTCTGCCTCCTTTTGGAGTTCTGCCTCCAGTTTGTCCTCCAAAAAAACTAGTGGAAATATTTCTAAATACAATGTTCTTTCCCAAAGTTCTACTAGTTATTTTCTAAGAATAGTTTTCCAAGTTAGATCTGCATAGTCTAGGCCCTAAAAATAAGCTGTGACGAGCTAGAAGGGACCTTATGGGTCGTTGACTCCAATCCACCTCTGCCAAACTACATTTCAGTTAAGTAGCATTCCAGCTTTTGCTTGAATACTCCAGTGACGAGTAACTCACTATGCATCTGCCCTACCTTAGTGGAACCAAAATCTGTTGTCCTGTAGCTTTTCTACCAGTGGGTCCTCATTCTGTTCTCTGAAGTGAAAACAGACATCTAGGATCTTTCTGCCACAATATGTCCCTTCAGATATTTGCAAACAGCAATCATGTCCCCCACTAACATCCTCAGTTCATCAATCGTTCTTCCCATGACCAGGATTGAGCAGTTACAGTCTCCTGTGGATAGGTTTGTCAAATTCCTGGTGCAGGTGCAGTACCCAAAACAGGCCCTGATAAGACCACAAGGAGGAAGCCCAGCCCCCTGGAGACTGGCTGACCCCCCGCTGCTAGTTCACTTGGGGATGGAAATAACTTCCGCTCCAGTATCGCAGCCAAGTCTCCTGCGGCCTCGCGGGAACCAAGCCCTCGAGGTCTGTCTGCCGTTGCTGAACTGCCTCTTCAAACCACTTAGTATTTTACACTGAGGTTCAGGAGCTTCTGTCCATTCCGATTGCACTTAATTCTGTTAGGCAAAGAAGGGAAAGAAGGAAGGAGGAGGGAATACTTGAAACGAGGACTCACAATACCACACACTAGGTTCTTTGTCTTCCTTCTGAAATGTGTAATCACAAAGTTGCCTAGTGAAAATGTAGTGGCCCCAATCACTGTTTTGTTGGGCATGGACACAGGGTGAATTTGAGGGCTTTAGCAGATGCAAATTTCTTCACAGTTGAACCTGGAAGACTTTCAGATGAGCAAAGTCTCGAAAATGAAAACTATAGAGTGAAAGGAAGGGAGGGGACATCCTAAGTCTTCCTGGGGCCTCCATTAGGGGTCACCACCCACGGCCTGCTCTGGCTCCAGGGCAGGAGGGCCCTTCCCGGCCACCCCCACTCTGCTTCATTATCCCAACCGTTTATTTCAACTCCAACTCTGACTTGACTATGTTTTTTTCATAAAGGGATTTTTTTTTAAGAATTCATTTTCTGGGCCTAGAAAACTGTAAAATTTGTATATATTTTTTTTAATTTTTAATTCCTCACTACTGGGCAGCAAAGGATCACTATTGTCAATTCTGTTTCACAAAGAAATTTCATCCATTATCCTCTTATAGATCATTTGTAAAGTAGATAAGAAGTAAAAATTACACATGGTGGAAAGAGCCCTTTCCTCTCACTGCGAAATGTTTGTAACTTTGCTGCTATTTGATCATGGAAAGGATTTGCATGTTGTCTGTTACTGTAACAGAACATATCTTTGAGATTTGAGTCCCTGTTACCAAATTTGTTCCTGACTTCTTCCCTGCAAGGTCACTTTTGAAATCTCTCTTTCATTGGAAAGAGCTGTGGGCCAAGAGCAAGAAGATTTTCACAGAGAAGAGCTGTGTTTGAAATAACTACGCGGCTCCATCTGTGTGTGCTCATTTCCTGTGTGTAATCGCTGTGAAAGGCACATCCTCCGAGAACAATATTCTTTAAGGGTATGCTCAGCTGCTATTACATTTCATCACAATAATCTACGCCCCAGCCTCAATCATTCTAAATTTAAAGCCTTTGCACAGTGACGTGACGAGCAGTTTACCAATCGACTGCGAGGAGATGAGGGCACGTCCCGGGTTCCCTCGTCTCGGTGGGACCATCTCTCCGCCAGCAGTTAGGACAGTCACTGAATGAAATGTGAGGGGCAGCGACTTTGAAAACAGCTGTGTCTTTTCACTTTAATGAGGAAAGTCGCTTTAAAAGAAAAGAAAAACTAAACCTATGTTAAAAAAGAAATCCGAAGACTCAATTGGGATTTTTTCATGAGGTTCAAATATAGCTACAAAGTTAGAAATTTGTTGAAATCATGAGGGGATTTCTTTTTTAATGTAGACGGAGCCATCATGTCCAAATATCATTCATACCATCGTGGATCTTTCCAAAATGTTTGCTGGCCTTTAGTTTATTTCCAGCTGTTGTTACATTAACCTAAATTTTTTTGTTGTTGTTAAACAGCCACTTTCATTAATGTTTGGTTTTATACACCATGATGTTTTGTATCTTTGCATTTAATATATAGGAAAATAAGTAATGAATATTCATGTTTGATTAGATCTTCTGACTTTTGTTCTTAACAGTGTTTTAACTGCCATAATTTTGGAATTTTTTGTGGAAAAGAAGGTGTCATTTCTCTTTTCATTGGTTTCATAAACCAAAGGGTGACACACAAGAATAGCAGGTAACTAGGATCAGCAGTGTCCATCAGTGCCCCTGTGACATCAGATACAGCATGAAGTTGACAGCAAGTGCCAGCGAGAACACCGTCCACCAACTCAGCGGGGCTGTATTGAGATTTGGTGCCTGTGAGTATGCTTTCCTGAGATCTGGTGCCTGTGAGTATGCTTTCCTGAGATTTGGTGCGTGTGAGTATGCTTTCCTGAGATTTGGGGAATCTGAGTATGATCTCCTGAGATTTGGTGCGTGTTAGTATTCTTTCCAGAGATTTGGGGAATGTGAGTATGCTTTCCTGAGATTTAGTGCCTGTGAGTATGCTTTCCTGAGATTTGGGGAATGTGAGTATGCTTTCCTGAGATTTGGTGCCTGTGAGTATGCTTTCCTGAGATTTGGTGCGTGTGAGTATGCTTTCCTGAGATTTGGTGCGTGTGAGTATGCTTTCCTGAGATTTGGGGAATGTGAGTATGCTTTCCTGAGATTTGGTGCGTGTGAGTATGCTTTCCTGAGATTTGGGGAATGTGAGTATGCTTTCCTGAGATTTGGTGAGTCTGAGTATGCTTTCCTGAGATTTGGTGCGTGTGAGTATGCTTTCCTGAGATTTGGTGCGTGTTAGTATTCTTTCCTGAGATTTGGGGAATGTGAGTATGCTTTCCTGAGATTTGGGGAATGTGAGTATGCTTTCCTGAGATTTGGGGAATGTGAGTATGCTTTCCTGAGATTTGGGGAATGTGAGTATGCTTTCCTGAGATTTGGGGAATCTGAGTATGCTCTCCTGAGATTTGGTGCGTGTGAGTATTCTTTCCAGAGATTCGGGGAATGTGAGTATGCTTTCCTGACATTTGGGGAATGTGAGTATGCTTTCCTGAGATTTGAGGAATGTGAGTATGCTTTCCTGAGATTTCGTGCCTGTGAGTATGCTTTCCTGAGATTTGGGGAATGTGAGTATGCTTTCCTGAAATTTGGTGCGTGTGAGTATGCTTTCCTGAGATTAGGGGAATGTGAGTATGCTTTCCTGAGATTTGGGGAATGTGAGTATGCTCTCCTGAGATTTGGTGCGTGTGAGTATTCTTTCCTGAGATTTGGGGAATGTGAGTATGCTTTCCTGAGATTTGGGGAATGTGAGTATGCTTTCCTGAGATTTGGGGAATGTGAGTATGCTTTCCTGAGATTTGGTGCGTGTGAGTATGCTTTCCTGAGATTTGGGGAATGTGAGTATGCTTTCCTGAGATTTGGGGAATGTGAGTATGCTTTCCTGAGATCTGGTGCCTGTGAGTATGCTTTCCTGAGATTTGGGGAATGTGAGTATGCTTTCCTGAGATTTGGTGCCTGTGAGTATGCTTTCCTGAGATTTGGTGCCTGTGAGTATACTTTCCTGAGATTTGGTGCGTGTGGGTATACATTCCTGAGATTTGGGGAAAGTGAGTATGCTTTCCTGAGATTTGGTGCGTGTGAGTATGCTTTCCTGAGATTTGGGGAATGTGAGTATACTTTCCTGAGATTTGGGAAATGTGAGTATGCTTTCCTGAGATTTGCGGAATGTCAGTATGCTTTCCTGAGATTTGGGGAATGTGAGTATGCTTTCCTGAGATTTGGTGCCAGTGAGTATGCTTTCCTGAGATTTGGGGAATGTGAGTATGCTTTCGTGAGATTTGATGCGTGTGAGTATGCTTTCCTGAGATTTGGGGAATGTGAGTATGCTTTCCTGAGATTTGGTGCCTGTGAGTATGCTTTCCTGAGATTTGGTGCCTGAGAGTATGCTTTCCTGAGATTTGGTGCGTGTGAGTATGCTTTCCTGA